CTTGTTAGGTAAGATAGGTTTCTATATTCAACTGATTATGTATATTATTCTCTCTCTGAGCCAATACTGATGAGAGTAAGGTTCAAGTGATGCCCATCTCCCATCCTCTCATTTTTCCCTCCACTATAACAGATTTTCTGCACTTCTTCATGTGAAATAATTTACCTCATTCTACCTCTCCCATCCTTCTGCACCCAGTATACTTCTCTTTCTCATCCCTCAATTAATTTTTTGTGTGTGTCATTTCCTCCAATTCACCTTATACCCTCTATCTGTGTAATGGGACAAGGGAGGAAACTATGTATTTGCTAAACAGTACCATAGACAATGAAGTAATATCAATACTAAACATACATTCACCAAGTAGTATAGCATCCAAATTCTTTTCTTTTCTTTTTTTTTGCTTTTTGGTCTGGTAATTAGGGTTAAGTGACTTACCCAGGGTCACACAGCTAGTATCAAGTGTCTGAGGCCAGATTTGAACTCAGGTCCTGGGCCAGTACTCTATCCACTGTGCCACCTTGCTGCACTGTAGCATCCAAATTATTTTTTTAAAAAAACATATATTTATTTATTTATTTTGGTGAGGCAATTGGGGTTCAGTGACCTGTCCAGGGTCACACAGCTAGTAACTGTTAGGTATCTGAGGCCGGATTTGTACTCAGGTCCTCCTGACTCCAGGGCTGGTGCTCTATTCACTTCGCCACCTAGCTGCCCCCCATCCAAATTCTTAAAGGAGAAGTTAAGTGAGTTACAGAAGGAAATAGCAAAACTATAATATTGGGGGACCTCACTCAGAACTTGATAAGTCCAACCAAAAAATAAACAAGAAACTCTGGAGGTGCATAGAATCTTAGAAAAGTTAGAGATGGAAGACCTTTGAAGAAAACTGAATAGGAACAGAAAGGAATATACATTTTTCTCAGCAGTACATAGCACCTACAGAAAAATTGACCATATCTTAGGGCATAAAACCTCAAAATCAAGTGTAGAAAGGTAGAAATATTAAATGTATTATTTTTGGATCATAATGCCATATATTCAACAAAGGGCAGTGGAAAGATAGATTAAAAATTAATTGGAAACTAAATAATGTAATCCTAAAGAACAACTGGGTCAAAGAACAAATCATAGAAACAGTCAATAATTTCCTTAAAGAGAATGACAACAATGAAACAACATCTCAGAATTTATGGGATGCGGCCAAAGCAGTACTTAGAGGAAAATTTATTTCATCAAATTTTTACATCAACAAAATAGAGACAAAGCAGATCAATGCATTGGGCATGGAACTAAAAAAAACTACAAAATGAACAAATTAAAAATCCCCAATTGAGCACCAAATTGGAAATTTCAAAGGTGAGATTAGTAAAATTGAAAGTGAAAAAATTGTTGAGCTAATAAACAAAACTAGGAGATGGTTTTATGGAAAAAACCTAATAAGGTAGACAAGCCATTGGTTAATTTGATTAAAAAAAGAAAGAGGAAAGCCAAAAATCCAGTATCAAAAATGAAAGGGTCAAATCATCACAAATAAAAAAGAAATTAAAATAATTATTAGGAAATATTTTGCCCAATTATATTCTAATAAATCTGACAATCTGAGTGAAAGCAATGGATATTTATGAAAAAAATTACTGAGATTAACAGATCAGGAAATAGGATGCCTAAATAACCCCATCTTAGAAAAAGAAATTGAACAGGTCATAAATTAACTACCTAAGAAAAAATTCCCAGGTCCAGATGGATTCACAAACAAATTTTACCAAATGTTTAAGGAACAATTAGTTCCAGATATAAACTATTTGGAAAAATAGGTGAAGGAGTCCTACCAAACTCTTTTATGACACAAATATGGTTCTGATATCTAAACCAGGAAGAGCTAAAACAGAAAAAGAAAATTATAGACCAATTTCCCCAGTAAGTGTAATGAAATACTATTGTGCAATAAGAAATAGTGAACAGACAGATTTCAGAAAAAGCTAGAAAGACTTGTATGAACTGATGCAAAGTGAAATGAGCAGAACCAGGGAAAACATTGCACACAGTATCAGCAACATTGTGTGATGATCAGCTATGAGTGACTTGGCTCTTCTCAGCAAAACAATGATCCAAGACAAGTACAGAGAACTCATGAAGGAAAATGCTATTGAAGCATATTTTTTCACTTACTTTATTCTTTTTTTGTGTTTTTTTCCTTCTGATCTGTTTCTTTCACAACTATGACTAATATAAAATATTTTTTACATGATAGCACATGTATAACCTATATCACATTGCTTGCCATTTTAGAAAAAGGGGAGGGAAGGGAGGGAGAAAAATTTGGAACACAAAATCTCGTAGAAATGAATGCTAAAAATTATCTTGACATGTAATTGGGGAAAACACTATTAGAAGATGGAAAAAAAAACTACTGGGAGAAGGAAAGGGATCAGAAAAGAGCTATGACTGTTGCTTAGAATGGATGGGATAGTGATAATGGGTGATAGAGAAGTTACAACTGATCAATCCTTACCTTGCTTATATTTTTCTCTGCTGATGAGAATTTCCTTTGTATTAGAAAGGACAAAACAAAAATGACTAATAGCAAAATAAACTCTCATCTGTTGCACTTGTTGAAATCCTTTTCTTTTTTTAAGCTTAGGTGTCACCTCTACCATGAAGTCTTGTCTAATTTCCTTTGGGGAAAATGATCTCTTCTTCAAATGTACACAAATCACTTTGTTATCACTTTGAGCTGCCTCTTCCTTGCATTATACTTAACTGTGTATGTGTTATAACCTCTTTCTCCCACTCCCCATTCTCTGAGTAGATTGAGTTTCTTGAGGTCGTGGACCATGCAATTTTCAGCTTTGTAGCCCCAGCACTTAGTTCGGTAGCCTGCACAGATAGACATTTATTAAATGTTTGTTTGTTTGAATTGTTCCTTTGCTCACTAGAATGTGAACTCCAGAAGATCAGGGACTCAGCTAAGTACTAGTCCTATAAAACAGATATGCATTAAATATCTATTGGTGAGATTAAAAAGCAAAAGATTGTATTTTGTAAGGCTAAAGCATTAAATAACCATGGTTATATGATAGTGCTAGTTTTACCAACTGTGCTATCCAGAAAGCAAAAGGTGCTTGATTTCATCAGTATGAATATTCCTCCTACCAATGCTGATCACATCCTTCCCTTCTTCGCCCTCTCCTTTCCTTAATAAATAGCTTTATGAATTGTTGTGGGCCAAAATAATTCATTACCTGTTAGGTCTTTTAGTGAGGACCCTCTCTGCACTTAGCTCTGCTGATTCTTGAGTGTAAGTATAAGTCCATTGCTGGCCTATAGTTAAAGACTCTTCAGCTGAGTTCTTAATAGAAACTGCTCTGTTAAGTATTTGAGAAAAAGAGATTTGAGAAGAGGATTTTACATAGTTTTCAAATACTTTACTTGGGATACTTGTCCAGATGACCATAACATGACCTTCAAATGATAGCTTTTTCTTTAAATGATAGGATGCAAGAATTTGAATTAAGAGATGTTCATAAGTTGATTGTGTCAGAAATTATAGTTGTTGAGATGGTCAATTGTTTTCAAATTGTTTCCAATCATTATTTTTTTTAAACATAGTTGAACTTGGTAAGCGCCACAGTGCATAAATCATTACAGTGGAGTGAAAGATATGATCCAATGTGATTTAAACTTCTGCCAGAATCCCTGAGATACTTAACATCAAACTTCAGATTATATTGTGAATAGATATCTAAGCTGGAAAAAGAATTGAATTTTTTTTTCTGGGCATATTCTTTTATTAACTTCATATTTTGCAGGAAAATGGTTTATAAATTACCAGTCAATAATTCATACCTTGGTTCTGTCTCCACTTTTTTTGGTGTGAGTATGATCAGAAACAAACAAGTTATGAATTTTTCATACTTTAAGTGTTTTTAAGGTTTGGTTAATATGGATATGGAAGATATGCAGCTGCGAAGAGTTCTCCAGTTTTTCATTAGTTAAATTATTGTCCTGCCAAATAATATTACAGAGGGAACCATAGTTTAGATATTTCTACAATGAACAGGAAACTAATGTGACTGGGAGAGAGCTAACATTGATGACTGTTAGAAACAGTGACTTAGTGATAATTTCACTTGTTATCAGCTTCTTTGGGTGGTACTGACTGGGCGACCTCCCTGTGCTTTATGCATTAAAATAGAGAGAGAGAGAAGTGCCCTCCAAGAAACTGTAGCTACTAAAAGTCATATGAAGATGATAACAGAGTGCAACAATTCATGGGAGACTGAGGTAGAAAAAGACATCTCCAAAAAAAAATGAGGAAAGCATTCTAATTATTCAAGAAGATTGGAGACCATTGGCAAAGAGTACTTAGCACATGCCACATAAGGATTGTCTAAAGGAATTGGGAATGTTTAGCCTAGAGAAGAGAAAACTGAGCAGACAAGAGAATTGTATTTAAATGTTTGAACAGCTTCATGAGGGAGGGGGAATACACTTGTCTGTTTGATCCCAACGGGCAGAACTAAGATTAATAGCTAGAAGCTGTAGAGGAAAATTTAGGCTTTAAGGTAAGGAAAAACTTTTTATTGAATCAAATGACCCAAAGTGGAATGGTTTGTTTCTGAAATAGTGCGTTCCTACTCATTGCAGGTCTTTAAGTGCAGGATAGATGGCCATTTGTTAGATATTTTGTAGGAGGAATTCCTCTACAGGTACGGGTGAAATAGATGGGCTTTGAAGTCTCTTCCCACTCTGAAACGATGTGATTCAGTAATGAATCATAAAATTCCCAAGTCTTTTCTTATGTACAATTGTTAAGTTGAATCTTTCCAAGACTGTACTTGATTGGTTGGATATATGCACCAAAAATGCAAGAATTCACATTTACATTCTTTAAAAATTAAATCTTGTGCTGTATTTTATCTGGACTTGGAAACTTATAGCAGTGGGTTGCTCTTTTCATATCTTAATTCCAGTTTTCCCTCTTCTTCCTTCTTTAGGTACTATGACAACTTTACCTCTTGCACAGAACTTGAAACCAACATTGTGGGGTGCTTTTGGCCCAACCCCGTGACAGAGGGCTTCATCACAGGAGTTCACAAACAGTTCTTCTCCAACTGTACGTCGGACAAAGTGCATTGGGAAGATCCACCAGATGAAATTCTCATTCCGCTGATTCTGATTCCTGTCCTGCTGACAGTGGGCATGGCGAGCTTGGTGGTGTGGTGCAGTAAACGGAATGATGTTTTGGTGTAGCCTGCATTTTCCTCTTTTGACTTTCCTTGTTTCCCTTTTTTTTTTGGAAAAAAAAACAACCCAGCAGAAGTCAAGCATCAGGAACCATTGTCTATGTAAGGCTGCTTCAGCCTAAATAGCTCCTATCCAGAGGAAATCTTTCTGGGCTTGAAAAGTCTTGATGAAAAGCTGCCATTTTGGAGTTTGGTTTGTGTCATGAAACCGACTCATTTTTAATGATGTAAAGACACTGGGTTTCATCATATTTCTAACTCTACCAGGGACAAAATGGAAATTTCTAGAGGAATTGACAGTGTAGAAGCTGCTGAATACAGAAAGATGAAAGGCAGTGTGGGCCAGTGAGAACTAAGTTTATCCATTGTTTCTAGCTAATCATTCATCTCACAAATAGCTATGGTAAAGTTTGAGTTACTTGTCTCTGAGTTGGTAGAAGGCTTATGTTGTGAGCTTGACACCAAAGGTCTTCCACTAATGGATTTCCCAGAAGGTTATCTCAGTTCTTTTATTTGTAGCAAAAGGAAGACAATACAACCAAAGATGGGTACTGCTGTTTTGAAGACAACAATTCAAACAAACACCTTTAAGGAGAAAGGACCATATCACACGAAGGGATGTTAACAGAAGTGCTTCGTAAGGATGGACTTCTTGACTTGAGAAGGACATGAAACTAGCTTCAAGAAGGATGCAGACCCCTTTCTCACAATGAGGAAAGAGTGATAGGAAGTGAACTGCCTTAATTTGTCAAGGAGTAATGAAGAAGCTAGATACATCAGATTCCTTCATTTGTTCTTTAATTATTGCTGTCACTTTTATGAAAACATGAGTACTGACTGGTTTCTTCCCATGCCTCTCTCTGCTCCCAAAGGGATTGTGTGTGCACAGTGTTCTATAAATAATAGAATACCCAGGCGGCAGAGATGCCTTTGAAATGTTAACTGTCAGAAACTGGCTTTCTTTTTAGATGGATTAGGACATGCATTAGGAGTGAAAAAAAAAGCCACAAGGAAGCTTGTAGCAGACAGTGTGGATTACATAGAATGGGGAAGAAAACAGCTTCTCCAGCAAAGTGGGAGAAATCTATTTCTACAGGTTGCCATAAAAATGTGGATGCCTGTGTGTTTGCTGGGCAATTGTTTTCCCTGTTCCTTCTTTGAGCCCCTTTCCTGTCACTTCTCAATTGTCCTTTAAATAATCCATGTGAAGTGAATAGTCCAGTTTGGCTTCTTCAGCCAAAATTTTTCATTCTTTAAATGTATCTTTCTTGGGTCCCAGTTGGCTCTTTTATTCTTAAGGGAGCAAAATTTGTGTTTGTAACAACTGTGTGTATAATTCCTACATGTAAGATGTGTTTATGGTTTTGAACTATTCAGTGGTCCTCTGTTTTTAAAAAGTCTCTAAGTAAATGTGTATATTTGGTGTTTTATTTTTTTTTTTGTCTTCTTTCACACTGCTCTAGTAAACAGCAAATGCTTTCATCAATGCTGAGAGAAGTAGACCATGTTATTTATTGCTGTTGTTCTAATGATCATATTTCTGTTGATTTTCTCCCCAGATCAGTTATGCAGATTGGGTTGTTCTTTCTTCTTGTCAATTGGATTACAGATGCAGCAATGGTTTTCTTTTGTAGCAGTCTGACTTTCTATTCCTTGACAGTGATCCAGGAATTAGATTTAGAAGTTCTTTGTGAGTGCTTTGCTGATACCACACCAGTGAATTCATTTACACTGAGATGTTTTAAAAGCCACAGATTGCTAAGCAGCCTTGTAAAATCTATTGGAGGAATTGTTTTCGTTTTCTCAAAATATCTCCTATAACTTAGAGAATCATTGCTTAATCTATCCCTAGTGGCTGTATGGGACTCTGAACATTTGTTGGAAACTTAATCACAGGCTCTCAGAGTTGGAAAAGATGCAGAGATAATCTAGTACTGGTTGAATAGGAATTTACAACATTACCAGCAAGTACTTATCTACCCTATGTTTGAAGACTTCTAGTGATTGGAACAAACCTATTACCTCCTAAGGCAGACTATTCAACTTTTGGAAAGCTATGGGGATGATGATTATCATGATAGTAACTGACAATATATGTCAAAACTTTAAGGTTTGCAAAGTGCTTTGCATACATTATTTCATTTGATCTTCACAGATGAAGAAACTGAGGCCTAGAGAAGACATGTGCCTTGCCCATGATCATATAGCTAGTAAGTTTCAGAGGTGGGATTTGAACCCATTTGTAATTGTTAAGAATTTTATTTCCTTACATCAAGCCTAAATCTGCCTCCCTGTAGCTTCAAACAATTCTTCTAGTTCTACTTTCTGAGGCCAAACAGAAATCAAGTCCTAATTTTCAACATTATAGTCCTCTAAATAGTTACCCTATTCTCACCTTGCCCCAAGTTTCCTTTCCTAATATCTGCAGGTTTTCCAACTCATCTTCATATGCTATAGTCTACTTTTGCCTCACTGTCATGGGTGCCTTTCTTTGGATGTGTTTTGGTTGATTAAATTCCTTCCTAAAATATACCCAGAACTGAACAAAATACTTAATGTGTTCTGACCATAGCAGTGTATAATGAGACTATCACATTCTTCATTCAGGACCCAGTTCTTTTGTTAATCACACTAATATTTTGGCCACCCTTTCACACTGTTGACTCACTTTGAGCTTACAATCTGCTAAAAATCTTCCAACCTTTTCTATTTAAATTATCTAGCTGTGCTGTCCCCATTCCATGTTTCTGCAATTTATCTTTTTGAACCCTGGGCAAATAATTTCACCCTATTTGCCTCAGTTTCCTCATTTGTAAAATGAGCTGGGGAAGGAAATGGCAAACCACTCCATAATCTTTGTGAAGAAAACCCCAAATGGGGTCACAAAGAGTTGGACATGACTGAAATGACTGCACAAACAGTATTTTACTTGTATCACTGTTAAATTCCATCTAATTAGATTTAGCCCATTATTTTAGTCTGTGAAGGTATTTTTGAATCTTGGTTTTCAAGTTATGAATATTAGCTATTGTTATTATTGTCTCTATAATTTAATGTATTAACTACCTCTATCAGGTTTAGATTATTAGCAAAAATGCTAAGCATGTTATCTGTGCCTTCATCCAATTAATCAACCAATCAGCAAGCATTTATTATTCATTTACTATATGTCTGGCACTGTACTAGATGTGGATATACAAAGACATTGATTAAAATTTTGAATAACATGGACTAAGGACAAAATCTCGCTGACAGTCTACCAGAGATATCCCAAAGGTTAACATTGACCTATTAATCACTGCTCTTTGAGTTAGGTCATTCCACTAGCTCTGAATCAAAGTATACTATCTTTTAATCCACAATAATAGCATGAAAAAGTTTGTCATGTGTTATGTTAGAATTAAGGCCTACTATATCTAGGTCATTCTTCTGATGTACCAGTTTAATAGTATTGTTAAAGAAGAAAGATTAGTTTGGCATCGTCTTTTTTTAATGAAGTCATTTTCTCCTTGTCGATCAATGCTCATTTTTTCCAAATATTCACAAATTATCCCTCCAATAATTCATTCTGAAATTTTTTTCAGGAATCAAATTTAAGCTCACCAGCTTATGGTTTATACTCTACCTCTACCTGCTTCCCTTTTGGGAAAATAAGGTTATTTGCCTATCTTGAATCCTGTGGTACCCCTCACACTCTCCATAGATTTTTAGAAATCATTGATAGCAGCTTATTAATCACATCTGCTAGTTCTTTCAGTACTTTGAGATGCGTTTTGTCCTGGCTTGGATGACTTGCTTATGACATCTTTTACAAAGTCCTCTTCCAAAGTATCATCGTGGCATGGAGGTGTGACCATGGGTCCTTAAATATGCCACTAAAGCCCCAGTTTTGTCAAATCTGACCAAACTAGAAAGGTTTTGAGTATGTGTTTTATCTGGGAATCAGTCTTAGAACAGAAATGTTTATTGGAAGGTTGATTACTAGTCTTAATTTTTTTCCCCCTACAGCTACCCATGAAGATGATCCAAACTATAGAGGGAGAGGGAGTCCTCTGATTGATGCAATCACAGCTCTTAGAAATATTACAATAGATATAATACACCTATAAATACCAATAGTTCTAGCCTTCTTGGATAATTAAAAAAATGTACATACGCATACATATATACATCACGCACGTATATATGTGTTATGTGTATATGTATGTGTGTATATACACATGTGTGTTGTGTATATGTGTGTATGTATATGTGTGATATACATACATATAGCAGCATAGTGGCATGAGGGTATTGTATAGCCTATACTATGGTAGTACTGGGTCAGCAGATCAGGGTTTCAACTGGACATATATGAAAGCAAGACAAACTCAAGTCAATCCTGAAATGGTTCAGGCAGGCCAAGGAAGCAGGGTAGACTTTTTTCTTAAAGGTGGGTGGAAATCCCCAGGCCAGATGTGAGCACCATGGATAGTTCTAAAGGTCCCTCACTCCCTCTGCCCCTAAAGAGTCCATAAACTTGGGTGGATCATTTTAATATAAGCCACATATATTTCTGTATAATTGATTTCTTTGCAGTCCTATTTGTTTTATTCATTTTAAAACATTCTGAAAAGGATCCATAGGTTTTACCAAACTGCCAAGGGAGTCCATGACACAAAAAGGTTATGAAACCTTGTTAGGGAGGTTGAAATAAAATAAGCACCTTTTATTTGGAGGCAGCCTTATGCCTTTTTGGCTACTTGTGCCCCAAAGTAAAGCCCGCTGGCTTTTAAAAGTCTTGTCCTGTTACATTTAATTCCGTAATGTTAGAGGCTGTTTTCTGTCCAGGATCTGAAACAAGTGAGAATCTGTGGGTATTATCATGCTTTCCTGATGGGTTAGGGTTTCAATTTTCGCTTAGTGGTGTTAGCCTTTACTATGGCTCTCAGATTTAATTTCTTTAGAATCTTCTTTTTCTGATGTCTTGAACCCATTTTTATTGGAATCCCAAATTCTGAAAATGGATACCCTAGTTTTGACACCTAGGAATAGTTGGTAGAGTGGCCTGCTACAGATTACAAAAAATTAACATAGATTTAGGCTATCAGCAAATATTCATTAAGTGTCATTTGAATGTTACTTTTTTTTCTAGTGGGAATTCAGAAATCCATTGATAGCTCTCTCTCACACCAAAGATAGATCTGTTACTTGAGTGTTTTACTATTAGAATATACTTTAGAAAGAGGAAAAAAAAATTAAACATTCTTCTTAATATTTTATTTCTTCTAATTACATGTAAAAACAATTTTTAACATTCATTGTTAAAAAATTTGAGTTCCAAATTTCCTCCTTCCCTTGATCCTCTCCCCCAATTGAGAAGACAAGCAATTTGATATAGATTATACATGTGCAGTCATGCAAAACATTTCCATATTAGCCACATTGTGAAAGAAAATAGAGACACAAAACCCCCAAGAAAAATACAGTAAAAAACAAATGTGCTTTTGTTTGTATTCAGATTCCACCAGCTCTTCCTCTGGAGGTCAATAGCATTTTTCATCACAAGTCCTTTGAAATTGTCTTGGATTACTGTCTTAGAATAGCAAAGTCATTCCCAGTTGAGCATCGTATAATATTGCTGTTACTGTGTACACTATTCTCCTAGTTCTACTCATTTCACTTTACATCAATTCATGTAAGTTTTTTCAGGTTTTTCTGAACCCACCCTGCTCATCATTTCTTATAGCACAGTAGTATTCAATCATAATCATATACCACGACTTGTTAAGCTATTCCCCAATTGATGTGCACTCCCCCAACTTCCAGTTCTATGCAACCACAAAAAGAGCTGCTGTAAGTACTTTGAACATGAAGGTCATTTTCCTTTTTTTTTTTTAAATTTATTATACAGACCTAATAGTGGTATTGCTGGGTCGAAAGGGTATGCATAGTTTTGTAGCCCTTTGAGCATAGTTCCAAATTGCTCTCCAGAGTGGTTGGATCAGTTCACAACTCCACCAACAGTGCATTAGTGTCCCAGTTTTCCCACATCTCCTCCAACATTTGTCATTTTCTTTTTCTGTCATATTAGCCAGTCTGATAGATGTTATGTGGTGCCTCAGAGTTGTTTAATTTTCATTTCTCTAATCAATAGTGATTTGAAGCATTTTTCATAGCACTATAGATAGCTTTGATTTCTTTGTCTGAAACTGTTCGCATCCTTTGACCATTTATCAATTGGGGAATGATTTGTATTCTTATAAATTCGACTCAGTTCACTATTAGAAAAATGAGGCCTTTATCAGAGAAACTTGCTGTAAATTTTTTCACAGTTATGATTACAGTTGTGTATTTTCCTCCATCCTATTTTTTCCATCTCTCTCTCTCTTTGTCTCTCTCTTTCTGTCTCTGTCTCTGTCTGTCTCTCCCTCCCTCTCTCTTTCTCTCATCCTGTCCATCCTCTAAAGTGTTTTGCTTCTGACCACTGCCTCCTCCCATCAGTACT